AACTTTCGTAATCAGTATGGTATTTAACTCAATAAATTATATCATTAGATCAAAGTTTATCTGTATCTATATTACTATATATATTTTCCTAATTTTATTCCCATGAAGTTGAAGATTAGGATGTAAATGCTAACTTATAGAAATGTCTTTATGCAGCTCTCTGTTAAGAACTATAAGATTAAAGCAAACCTCTACATAGATGGCGACCCAGAAATTAAGGAGACTACAAGCTTTCTTTGCAGGATTATTTCCAGTGATTTATCTGTATGCTTCTCCTAACACTTCTGTTATCAGCTTGCAACAAATTTGAAGATGATCCCAGAGTTCAATTAGGGTTGATTAATGTCTCTTTACATAATTCAGAAATTCAGAATGGTACATTTTTATTCATAAACTCAAATACTGCTTGTTCATTATTTCACTGTTTAAAAGTGGTGCTGTGATTTATTCAGTGAAGAGATTTTACTAAAGAGCCTGGAAAAAAGAAAATGTTTATGGCTAAAATTATCACTTTATATTTTTATGATGAAGCTTATTACAATTTATGCGACATCTGCAAAGGATACAGTTTTTAAGACCAGTTGCCTCTGAATGGAAATCAGTTCACATTTTGTCCGTCTGAACTAAAAAAGGAATAAATCATTCTGTCAGTTTTTCAGTGTTTATTCTTCTCTTTCTTCCTATACTTTTTTGGAAAAGTTTTTTTAAAATAGCAGGAAGATGACATTTTTCTCTACACACCAGGTGGAAAATTGCTGTAAAATTTGAAACATCAAAGGGTCAAAAGAATCCCTCCGCAGTTCTCTGCTGGTGGAGTAATCTTTGGAAGGATCGTATCAATCTTTCCACTATTTCCTCTCTGATTAAAATACATTTTAACATTTTAAATTAAGCATTGTGTACTTTTCCTTTCCCAGTTATTATTGATGGTTTTTGTTTTTTTCCCTGTCTATTTGTCCTTTCTTTTATTCGTAATTTGTGGATGAAAATTAGGATCTCAGGTCTTGATTAAAGTTATACTATTTTACTAATGTTAAAGAATTTACAGTACAGAAATATCTTTCTCTCTTTTTTCATGCAATTAATGATAATTACTGAAAAAAGTGTTCCCTCCTCAGACTAAATAATTCTACATGTTTGACTTTTCTGCACACTTCTTAGCTTTTTTATTGCTACAAACTTGCTTTAGAAGAAGGGCTCTGATTCCTCTTTTCCTTCACCTTTTGTAAAGCAGAGTGTTTTAGGTCATGTCTACCTCTAGATGGCGCTGTCTGCATGTTTCTCGCTCTGGCCAGTTTCTCTTTGCGCCATCTAACTCTCTATTAATCACTGTGATGGTGTTCTTTAGCTGTATGAATAACCCTTTTAGATTTTTCTGAGTTTAGATTTCTGTGTGGAGTTTGCATAGTACTTTGCCTTTGGAAGGGTGCTTTCTCCTTGGGTACTCCAGTTTCCTGTCACAACCCTAAATATGGAGATTATGCAAACTGGAGACTTTTGAAGTTGCTCATGGGATGGCGTTCAGTGTTGTTT